GTGTGTGTGCGTGTGCGTGTGTGTGTGTTTGCGTGTGCGTGTGCGTGTGCGTGTGCGTGTGTGCGCGTGTGTGTGTGTGTGTGTGCGTGTGCGTGTGCGTGTGCGTGTGCGTGTGTGTGTGTGTGTGTGCGTGTGCGTGTGCGTGTGCGTGTGTGTGTGTGTGTGTGCGTGTGCGTGTGCGTGTGTGTGCGTGTGCGTGTGTGTGCGTGTGCGTGTGTGTGCGTGTGCGTGTGTGCGTGTGCGTGTGCGTGCGTGTGCCTCCGCCTCTCGTGCCGCCGACCGGGCGCCGCCCGCGGCTTGGCGTGCCACCCCCCTGCCGCCCGCGCCGGGAGGTGGCTGCTGCCGGCAGGCTCTGCGTCCTCAGCGATATGTACCGTGGAGGCCAGCCCGCGAGAAGCCTTCCACAGGAAACCCAACCCCGAGACCCGAGGACGTCCACCTAAATCTGGTGTGGGATGGCCACGCCTTCCACCGCAGAGCCATCCATCGAGACCCAGGGCACCCAGGGCGTTTTTTTGGGGCACGGGCCCCCCCGCTGTTCGGGTCGGGCGAAAGGGGGGGATAGCAAAGGGGGGGTTTGAGAATCAGCTCACGTAGCTGATTTTCCCGGCGCCTCCCGGCGCCGGAGGGAGCTATGTATCGAGGAATGGGCCCCTCGGGGAGGCCGAAACCAGCTGCATGCAGCAAATTTCGTAACCCCCCCTTTGCCAATCCCCCCCTGTCGTCCGGCCCGAGCTGTGACTGCGACTGCCGTTGCCGCTGCGACTGTCATCGCGAATGCGACTACGACTGCGAGAACAGCAGAATTCTACAACTGGGTTCTCATTTGAATCTTAAGGGGGATGCTTCCAGATATGCTCCTACACATCGCTGTTAGGTTGCTTTGCCGGGATATTTGGGGCACGGCCCCCCCGTCTGTACCCGAGGGCCCGCCGTCGCGCGCCCTGTGCCTCGACTTCCTCTGCCCTGTCGCTGCGCGCGAGGCCGCTACCGCCAGAAACGCGGGCACCTTTTCCTCCTCTGAGGCGGCCCTGCCGGTGGTGTATGAAGGGGCCCAGGGACACACAAATCAACGGACACTAATCCCAAGATCCCACATATGTTCTACATTTTCCTGGATGCTCGTCTTCCCATCAATTTCCCATCTGCTCCGTATTTTCTGGGGAATCGACAAGCCCAGACCCTCGACGTAGTGATTTTGTTTAAGACGTCGACCCCCAAAAGTCTGGACCCTTTCCCCGGAACCGGCTTCTCATCCTGAGTCATTTTCTGACGCTCCCGAGGCCTGGCGGGGCCCCCAAACGCCGAAAATAACGAAAAACCGCCCGTCGTAGTTTTTTCACGGTTCGAGGGGGTCTGGGAATATTGTGATCGTTTTTTCATTCGGCGTTTCGTCATTGGGAGGAAGGGGTGGGGGCGGCTCCAGACCTCTGCTTAGTGCTGCTGTTGCGGCAGTGCGCCCTATAGGGGGAGACTCCGCCTGCTCGAAACAGGCGCCCCCCAAACAGCCAAGATCTGCTCCATGGGGGGGGGAGGGGGGGTGCGAGGGCCCGCGCCGATCGGCAAAGCAGTGTATAAAACAAATCGATCACTATTGCGTCTGTGGGTGTTTGAAGGGGCCCTGGGACACACAAATAAATAGACACAATAACAGGATTCCACATATTTTCGTGTATTTTCTTGGTTTTTGTCTCCCCCCCCCACTTCCCATATTTTCCAATATTTTCGGGGGAATCGAGGATTAATTGTGTCTGCATGTTTTTTTCCCTCCTGAGTGTTGCCCCTCCCGACTCTAGGCGAAGGCCTTGTAGGCCGCGATCTGCTCGTACTCGAGCGGACGCCCCAGGGCCTCCAGCAGCTCCTGCTGGACGACCAGCGGCAGCCGGGCGGCGCGCGCGTGCTGCTTCAGCAAGTGGGCGAACCTTTTGAGCAGGGACCGACCGTCCCGGCATTCCTATATTGGCGGCGCGCAGAGGGGGCTAGGGGGAGGGGGAGGGCCTTAGAAGCAGGCTGCTTCTTAGAAGGCGCCGGCCTTACATCTACAGAGAAGGCCCGCCTTCTAAGAAGCAGGGGTGCTTCTAAGAAGCCTTCCCCCCTCCCCCAACCCCCCTCTGCGCGCCGCCAACTATAGTCCTACCACGAAATGTTGTCAGAGCCTAAAAATGTTCTAAGAACAAAAGCAATGCTCTTAGAACACAAACCCGATGTGACAAAACAAGACAGCCCTGGCCAGAGATGTTCTAAGAACATGTCGTGGGAACCACAAAAGGTTCTTAGAACATTGTTTGGTAAGACTATAGGCACGCCAGGACGCTTCGCCACTGCATGAACCTTGACAGCCTGGAACATATCCCTACGACCCATGCCCCCATCGGGCCATGAAAAAATCACGACGGGAGGAATTTCCATGGTTTCGGCCTCTGGGGGCCCTCACCGGGCCTTGGGAGCGTCAACAAAACGACTCAGGATGAAGAACCGGTCCTGGAGAATGGGTCGAGACTTCTGGGGGCCGACGTCATGACAAAAATCATGACGTCGGGGGTCTGGGATCCTTGTCCCTATGTGTGGCATCGCATCATCTCGATGCCGATCTGAAGGATTCCCTGTCAGCTTTCGAGGGCGCATCCCTGAGATTGTTATCTCCCTGTGGCTTGTAAATTTTGGGGATGGGGATAAGTTCGAGGTTGGTGCGAACCTCTCGAAACCGGCGTGGGTGTTCTTGAAGAGAAGCACCTCTTGGCCGGGCGCAGAGGGAGGCAGGGGGAGGGGGGAGGGCTTCTTGGGAGGCTGCTTCTGAGGAGGCGCCGGCCTCACATGTATGGATAAAGGCCCGCGCCTTCTAAGAAGCAGCCTCCTTCTCAGAAGCCCTCCCCCCTCCCCCGACCCCCTCTGCGCGTGGCCGAACCTCGTCCGTGGACGGACTGTAGGTAACCCCACTGAGGTGAAGCATGACCTAGGGAGACAACATACTGACATAACCATGCAAGCTCGGAAGTCCGCGCGGATTTCCCGGATCGGCGCTGGACTCCCCCTCCCTGGCGCGCGGAACGTGCGCCAGGGGCGGCGCCAGTCGGGGTCCAGCGCGGATCCGAGAAGTCCGCGCGGACCTCCGAATTTTTATGTCTATGCCATTGCTCGTTTTCCCTGTGACCATCGGAACGTACTCTGGCCTGACGCCCGTCTGCCAGAAGATCTGCTCCCCGATCAGGCGCGTCCCGACCGCCACCCGGCAGCTCGGCGACGAGGCGAAGTCGGCGAACCAGCCCCAGAAGGTGTCCAGCTCCTCCCAGTCGAAGGTCGGCGGCAAGCGAGGGGGGGGAACGAGAAGGAGAAGGCCTTCTCAGACGGCGGCGGGACTGCTCCGAAGCCCTCGCGCCTTCCGAAACACGGTTTTGTGAGGAGAAGGCCTTCCCAGACGGCGGTGGGACTGCTCCGAAGCCCTCGCGCCTTCCGAAACACGGTCTTGTGAGGAGAAGGCCTTCCCAGACGGCGGCGGGACTGCTCCGAAGCCCTCGCGCCTTCTGAAACGTCGTTTTGTGAGGAGAAGGCCTTCCCAGACGGCGGCGGGACGTCTCAGAAGCCTTCGCGCCTTCTGAAACGCCGTTTTGCGTCTTCGGGGGAGGCTGGTAGAAAACTTCTCCGAAGGCCGGGGGGGGCTGCCGAGCCTTCTCAGAAGGCCCGCCCCCTCTTGCTTCCCCCCCTCGCCGGCCGCCGAGAAGAAGTGCAGGAGCAGGGCCATGTTTAGGGGAACAAGAAGTGTCATAAACATAAGAGCTCGGAGGTCTGCGCGGATTTCTCGGATCGGCGCTGGGGCCCCCTCCCTGGCGCGCGGAGCGCGCCAGGGGCGGCGCCAGAGGCGCCGCTGGGGGGCCCCAGCGCGGATCCGAGAAATCCGCGCGGACCTCCGAATTCTTATGTTTATGCCACTTTTTGTTCCCCCGATGTTGTTGCGCATGACGATCGGCAGCTCCGGCGCCACGTGGTGAAGCGCCACGCACACCCACAGCGGGTAGCAGTCCACGACCGCGTCCGCCGCCCTCCAGGCCGGGTCGCCCGCCACCCAGCCTCGGACCATCTCCAGGCTCTTCCACAGGGAGCGCAGCATTGCCCTGTCCGCAGACCACGCCACGCGGACCTCAGGGGGCCCCGTGCCGGAGCCCCAGGACAACCCGTCGGTGGTGACGCCAGCCCACGGCCTGTCCTTCCACCCCGTCTTCAGCAGGTACCTGCCCCCGCGGGGGGTGCACCCAGAGGCCCCCGGAGTCAGAGGAGCAGGAAGCCACAGAAACAGAAACTTTTGGAGGTCCGCGCGGATTTCTCGGATCTGCGCTGGACCCCTGGCGCGGGGAGCGCGCCAGGGGCGGCGCCAGAGGCGCCGCTCTGGGGGACCCAGCGCGGATCCAAGAAAGCCGCGCGGAGCGCCAAAAGTTTATGTCTGCGGCGTTTTTTTCGAAGGATGCTCTGGAGGTCCACGGGGGCGGCCTGGGAACAGGCCCCCGCCCCCCGACCCCATCCCCGATCCCCGATCCCCCGATCCCCGCCACCCGATCCCCGCCCCCCGCTCCCGATCCCCGATCGCCGATCACCGCCCCCCGCTCCCCCCCCCTCAGACGCCTCCGAGGATGTTCCGGAGGTCCACGGAGCGAGGGAGCGAGGAAGGGGACGATGTCCTCCCCCTCCTCCTCCTCCTCCTCCTCCGGCTCCTCCTCCTCCTCCGCCTCCTCCTCCTCCTCCTCCGCCTCCTCCTCCGCCTCCCCCTCCCCCTCCTCCTCCTCCTCCTCCTCCTCCTCCTCCTCCTCCTCCTCCTCCTCCTCCTCCTCGCACGTAGCTCGGAATGAGTTCGTAGTCGCTTAGCTCGCTCGATCGTCCAGTTGCTGTAGCAGCTGCGCTCTGGCAGCACGGGCATGCTGTGCTATCAAGGTTGGGTCGACATTGGCCTGGCTCCGAGTTGAGTGATATAAGTAGAAACTCAAAACCACGCGTTGCACAGCTAGCAGGCGTTCCTCACCGCTCATGTCCTTGGCGATCCCCAATCTGCGATCTAAGGGGACCTCAAACGGAGCCGACGGGACCCAGACGGATTGTACAGCACCCCGCAGCAACGGACAAGACAAATAATGCCTCTGAGTGTCGCTCTCACTGGGGCAACCGAATTTACAAGGGATGTTGATTTGCCGAACCCTCCGCTCAGTCGTCCACCCACCCACCACCGTCTTAAGTGCCGAGGCCTGCCATGAGGGGGGGAGTCCGCAAAGACACTCTTTGAGCATCTTCCAACTGCACCCTGCCCTGGCCTGGCTCGAGAGGGGACTCAAGGTCCACTTTTCCATGCGTTTGAAAATGGTGTCGCCCAGATTTTCTTGAAACAGCTCAACCTCCAGGCGCCTCGCGATCGTCCTCTGAACAGGAACCGCGGGACCCCCAGCCTCAGCCTGAAGCTCCTGCGCCTCGCGGAGGGCGTCCATAGCAAGGGCGACAGGCCTCCTCCTCCTCCTCCTCCTCCTCCTCCTCCTCCTCCTCCTCCTCCTCCTCCCACTACTGCGCCTCGAGAACTCGAATCCCCCGACCCCCGAGGGGCACGAGACGATCTCCGCGGGGCGGCCCCAGTGGTCCAGGGAGATCGCGTCCAGCAGCGACTGCGTCTCCTGGGCAGCCCTCGCTTATTGCGACGACGACGACGACGACGTTGACGACGACGACGACCACGTTGACGACGACGACGCGTGCGCCGCACTCTCACTGGGACAGGGCAGCTCTCGCGTCCATCTCACAAAGACCTGCGCGAACATAAACTTCTGGCCCTCGGCGCGGACTTCTTGGATCCGCGCCTGCCCCACCCCGGCGGCGCCGATCCAAGAAACCCACGCGGACCGCCAGCAGTTGAAGCTTCTGACTTTTTTGTTGGTTCTCCGAGTCCAGCAGCGACTGGGCCTCCTGGACAGCTCCTGCTTGCTGCTGTCAGAGCCCGCGGCGCGACCACGTGGCTGATGTCGGAAACCCTGAACCCAAACCTGTTGCCACATCATGGGGGGGGGGGACAAGGGAACGCTGCGGAGCGTTGCGAGGGAGAGGAGGAGGAGGAGGAGGAGGAGGAGGAGGAGGAGGAGGAGGAGGAGGAGGAGGAGGAGGAGGAGGAGGAGGAGGAGGAGGAGGAGGAGGAGGAGGAGGAGGAGGAGGAGGAGGAGGAGGAGGAGGAGGAGGAGGAGGAGGAGGAGGAGGAGGAGTCCCGAAACGGTGCGCTGACAGACCGTGCGGTGACCTCGAAATCCCCCAAAACCTCACCGCACGGCCCGTCAACGCACGGTTTTGGGACCTCTGATGCCCCAGTCGCCCGAGACGTCCTCGGAGAACCACCCGAGTCCCAAAACCGTGCGGTGACCCCGAGTCCCCACCAACTCACCACATGGTGTGGTCACCACCCCGTTTGGGGGCACATCTGCTACTTCCGCCGGCCTCTGCCAACCTTCCGCCGGCTTCCGGAGCCGCCCTCGTTTTACTTCCACACGCACACGCGCACTACCCCCAAGGATCCTTCGGCGCAGGGGGCCTCCTGAGGGGCTCCAGACTGCTGTGCGAACGGCGCTGGCACAGGCACCATGCTGAACCAGAAGCCCGACGAAGCGCGAGCAAAGGCAGGTGGGTCTCTTCGTGCCCCAGCCCCGCCCCTATTGTTCTACTTCTGCCGGCCTATCGCCGCCCCTCCGCACCCTTCTGTCGATCCCCCGATGCGACGAGGCTGAGGTCGGGCATGTCCTGCTACAGGCGAGTTTTGGAAGAACAATCAAAAATAGTCAAAAAACTAACCACACATAGTCACAAGAGCAGGAAACATCGTCACCACCACATCTTTTACTATTCTTGAATTTTCCTCCAGTGAGGGACATGCCCGACTTAAGACGAAACTGGGACGAAGACAACATCGGGCGAGGATGAATTGGGAACCTCTCAGAGCCAGTGGCTCTGGAGGATGTCTCAGCAGCCGCGGCCTTCTTAAAGCGTTCCGGAACGCTCCGAGAGCGTTCTAGAATGCTCTGGAACGGACAGCTATCCTCATCGAACGCTCTTAGCCGCGTCCGAATATTCCTATCCCTATGTATGGCATCGCCTCATGTTGATGCCGATCTTAAGGGTCCCTTCAGTTTTCGAGGGCACACCCCTAAGATTGTTATCGCCTTGTGGCTTGTCCATATTGCGGATGGGAATGAGTTCGAGGATGGTGAGAACCTCTCGAAGCCTTCGTGGGTGTCCTTGGGAAGAGGAGCCCCATCGGGACCCGACCCATCCCAGGAATGCAGGGACCCCAGCGCATCAGTCCTCTTGACGTCGCTCGGACGTCTGTCCCCCGTGCATTTTTCGGTTTCGTCAATTTTCTTTCCTTTTTTGTCCTCTCTCTCTCATATGTATATGTATCCGCCGGCCCCCTTGTGGGGCCACCAGGCTGCGAGGCACGGGTTCGCAGTTTCCAGTGCGAGTTGTAGCTTGTAGTTTCCAGTGTTACAGTTCTGCTTCTTGCTGGTTACTGTAACTAGTTGATTGACCGCGCGAGGGGGGGGGAGGCCCAAACAGGATTTTTTAGCACCCCCTGGGCGCGTTGTCTGAATTGCTGGGGGGGCTCGAAATCGACACCCCTCACGCAGATCCGCGGGGTCAGGGTCCAAAAACACAGGGATTTGCCACATTTCTGAAATTCGGTGCCACCCCTCACGCAGATCCGCGGGGTCAGGGTCCAAAAACACATGGGATTTGCCACATTTCTGAAATTCGGTGCCACCCCTCACGCAGATCCGCGGGGTCAGGGTCCAAAAACACAAGAGATTTGCCACATTTCTGAAATTCGGTGCCACCCCTCACGCAGATCCGCGGGGTCAGGGTCCAAAAACACAGGGGATTTGCCACATTTCTGAAATTCGGTGCCACCCCTCACGCAGATCCGCGGGGTCAGGGTCCAAAAACACATGGGATTTGCCACATTTCTGAAATTCGGTGCCACCCCTCACGCAGATCCGCGGGGTCAGGGTCCAAAAACACAGGGGATTTGCCACATTTCTGAAATTCGGTGCCACCCCTCACGCAGATCCGCGGGGTCAGGGTCCAAAAACACAAGGGATTTGCCACATTTCTGAAATTCGGTGCCACCCCTCACGCAGATCCGCGGGGTCAGGGTCCAAAAACACAGGGATTTGCCACATTTCTGAAATTCGGTGCCACCCCTCACGCAGATCCGCGGGGTCAGGGTCCAAAAACACAGGGGATTTGCACACGGATCCGCAACATTTTGGAAATTCGGTGCCACCCTTCACGCACATCCATCGCAAGGCGTGGTAACCCAAACTGCGAGAACTCCCTCGGCCCTTTAATCGCAAGGTGTGGCAACCAAGCCCGTAAACCATACACGTCTTACCAATCGCCAGGTGTGGTAACCCCTCTTGTGATCAGTTGGTTTTGCTGATTGCGTTCGGCTTCGCATGAAGTTTCGATACTGCTTCACAACAGCGCCAAGGCCTCATGACTTAGCTCTTCCATGGCCCATTCTCCGAGAGAGGGGGCCGGCGGCAGGGGGCGAAGCCCTTACGGATATGTATATGTATATGTATATGTATATGTATATGTATATGTATATGTATATGTATATGTATGTCTGTATGTATGTACGTACGTCCGTACGTACGTATGTTTATATAACTAATAAGCTGTGCAACAAATAATGATCCAAGATGCTCCTCGATGGATCCCGCCGAGAAGAAGTGCACACGTCCGAGCGAGGCCAGATTCTACCAGCTGCGCCTGGCCGTGGCCTTAACGGGTCCTCCTCGGATCCGTTCCTCTGCGCTGCAAAAAAAAACACGACTACACGTTAGAGTGACCCTGGGTGAGAGAGATCTTTGGTGCGCGGCTTCTGGGGGGCCGTGGGGGGGCTGGACACGAGCGCGCCAGCGGCTGCTGCCTCTTCGCTTTCAGCCACGTGGGGACCCACCTGTGCCCGCGCACCAAAGGCCACGCCGGCGGAGGGTCGCTCTTACGTCTCGTCGAGAAACACGGGCCGCCCCAAAGCTCGGGAGCGGCCAAGAGGGGGATGTCCAAGAGGGGGGGTGCAAATCATGACCGGCGGCATGTGCGCTGCCCAGCGGGGGGGCCAGGGACGTAATGAAACAAGAAGAGGCGCCATGAAATCTGGGGAAATATCATGGCCCCCGCCATGATATCCCCCCCCCCCCCCCTAAACATCACCCCCTTCTCCCCAGACCCCCGACGTCATGATTTTTTCATGACGTCGACCCCCGGAGGTCTGGACCCATTCCCCAGGACCGGTTTTCCGTCCTGAGTCGTTTTTTGACGGTCCCGAGGGCCGGTGAGGGCCCCCAGAGGCCGCAAATCATGAAGAACCTCCCGTCGTGATTTTTTCATGACTCGAAGGGGTCTGGGTCTTCCGCCCCCGAAAAACGCACGACGCCGACCCGCAACTCCGCCCGGGTCTGCCCTCCGGCCTGGCCGCGCCCGGCACACCCGCCGCAGCCTCGCTGCGCGACTGTGCCCCCGCGCCCTGCGGCCGCTCTCCCTCCTCCGCCCCCTCTCCTCCTCCTCCTCCTCCTCCTCCTCCTCCTCCTCCTCCTCCTCCTCCTCCTCCTCCTCCTCCTCCTCCTCCTCCTCCTCCTCCTCCCTCCTCCTCCTCCTCCTGTCCTCCTCCTCTCTTGCACGCGGGCGACTTCGCGATGCCGTGTCCTGGTGGCGCCCCGACGCGCGTGCGGGTCGCCTCTGCCGCGCTGCGACGGGAAACGTCTGGACTGAAGGGGCCCTGGGACACACAAATAAATACACACATAAAAGAATTCCCCTATATTTCCCTATATTTTCTGGGTTTTTGTCTTCCCCCCCACTTCCCATATTTTCCCATATTTTCCTGGGAGTGGGCGAATAATTGTGTCTGTGTTTTTCCCCCTCCTGATGGACCACCGAGAGGGTGCGGGAACAGCGGGTGCGAGGTCCAACGGCGCATGTCGTCCAACACCGACAGCGGCCGCTGCTGGGCAGGCGGCCTTCCGTCTCGGATGGGCAACGTCCGCGGCAGCGCGGACAGCGTTCCCCGTCCCAGATAGGCAGGGACTGCTTTGGGGCATCGTACCTTAGATGCTCATTCTGGGGACCTTCCTGGAGCCACTCGCTCCACTCGTGCGTCGAAGCTGCGTCGAAGCTGAGTCGAACCTGAGTCGATCCTGAGTCGAATCTGAGTCGAATCAGAGTCGAACCTGAGTCGAACTTGAGTCGAACCCGAATCGAAACGATCCATTAGGTGGGCCCCATTAAGGTCCCCAAAACGAGCATCGAACGTACCCGTTCCTTCCGTGTCCATTTCGTTCCACTCCCCCCCCCCCCGGAAGCACCACGGTGCAGCAGCTCTGTGAACCAGTCCCGACAGCACAGCCGGGAGCTGGAAAAGCACGAAACTGTGAACGACGAAGGCGTGAAACACAGGAGGACAGAGGACGACACCAGAGTTCAGTCGGGCCCGCCCCTCTACAGGAGGAATATTCACACATCGTGAAAACATAGCCTGGGGGCTGTGTGTTTTGGTATTTTTGTTTGACCCTTTGGGACTATTTTTTGAGCATGCTTTTAAATGTTCGTCGAACATCCCCCTGTAGGGGGGACACGCCCGACTTAACATCGGAGGACGAAGGCCATGCCTTCGGGGATCTTCCGACCCGGGTCAATCCAGACCCGGGTCAGCAGGAAACCGAAAACTGCAGTGCAGGAACAAAAACTGCAACGCAGGTCTTCTTGGCTTCGCCAAGGGCTATGAAGGGACGCGTGGATATTTTTTCCTTTTCAAATTTCATTTTAGTGGTCTCGTGCCGAACAACGACACCCAATATGCGCAAACCCGGGTCAGCCAATATGC